TCAAATTTTCCAAGTCTTCTTTCCTCATTATACCCCTAGAAACTACGTATAAATGTCAGTTTTGTTTCCATTTTCTCTAAAACTTTGTCATTGCTCACGTGATAAGTCAATGGTATTCTCAGCATCCTTCTGTAAAATCACATTTCTGTTGCCTCAAGTTGCTTCTTCATCTATGAAGAGATTGTTCAGCATTCACTGCCATATAAGAGGACCAATGTTCAGTACTTTTTTTCTTTGATTCTAATAAAATTTTCCTATTTCTTAATACTTTGCTTAGCTTTTGTAAGGCCACTTTTGTTATTCCAATGTGCGATCAAATTTCAATGTTGCATTTTCTGTCCTCTGTTTAAACACTTCCTAGATATTTGAATGTTTGTATAAATTAAATTTTGTAGTTTGCATCTTGGACTGTCCAATTTGCTGACAAACATAAATTCTGTCTTCTTACAATGATGCTTAGTGCTTTCTTCTTGCTTTCCTTTACTATCTTCAGTAGTATATTGAAGCATTTTGAGACTATAAGTTTTTTTATAAGCATGGTGTTGTAGATTTTTTTCCATGTTTGCTATCAACATTGTGTCATTTGTATATCTTATGTGATTAAGATTGTGGCTGCCAATAATGAACCATGGCAGGACTTCTAATTCTCTAAGGGCTGCCTCACTGTAAAGCTTAAACAAGTCTTGTGAGAAGACACATTCTTGTCTTATACATCCTTTCTATTTTTTTTATTTTTACTAAATTCATTTTCTATCCATATGCAGGTAATTTGCTCCCAGTATAAATTCTGGATTATTCTAACATCTTTCCAAAATAAATCAAACTTACCTAGCAGTTAAAACAATTTTTTGTGACATACCTTATCAAACACTTTTGTATAATCTACAAAACATAGATATACATACTTTTGCATTTACATTGCTCTTTCTGATATCATTCTGAGTATAAATATTTTATTTCTTGGTCCAGTGTCTTTAACGAAACTACACTGTTCTTGTTGTATTTCTAGTCTAATCCTGCTACAGACTCTATTCATCAAAATTCGGATAAGTTTTGTTATGTAGCTCATTAGGCTGATTGTCCAAGAGATTTCACATTTGTTTGCACCTAGCTTCTTAGATGGTGCTTTGAAAAATTGATCTATTTAAATCTCCTGGTATATCACGACAGTCATATTTTATTTATTACTAGCTTAAAAGGTGCACTCTGTGTGGACTTTTAACCTAGCTCCTGTGGAGGGTTTTGCGCTGGAGGCCCAAAACTTAAGGAATCTCTAGTCCAGCTTAGAAAATAACTTTAAAATTCTTTAGAAATAACTTTAAATTTCTCAACTCACTTGATGGAACTTCAAAACATCACTTTAATTCTGATTCAAGCTATAAGTTCAATACCAGCCAAATGATCAATTTGGGCCAAAATTCCAATTCAGGCTGAAAATTGAGTTCTTCAAATCACAAACTCCATGGAACTTCAAAACCTCGCTTCACGAAATCTCTCACTTTAACTCTGATTCCTTGGCATTTTGAAGAAATAAAATTTAATTTCCTCAATTCACAAAATTTTGGAGATATTTTAAACTGAATTTAAAACAAAAAATTTTAAGTTTTTGTGTTACTTTAAACTCAATATAAATTAAAAACTTAAAATCACTAATTTTTTTCAGTTATTTTAAAATTTGAATTTTTAACTGTTCTCTCATCTGGAAACAAATCCCAATGCTAGATGTTCAAGTACCAGATAAAGGGCAGATTTTCAATCCTAGAATCATCCTGATTTCAAAAAGGTATATGTAGAGGAAGTGTGGCACAAGCAAGAGAAGTTTCAGACATATGGCTGGACAGACAGAATTTGTCATTTACTTATTTAGAAGAATCAATGCCAAAATCATCTAAAGCTACTGGCATCTATTACAATTTCATCTGGTCCTGCTGTTTTTTTTCTTTTCAATTTGGCTAGTACTGATTTCACTTCAGACTTTAATATTTCTGGTCCTTCCATATTTTTGTGCATTGCAGGTTTTCCTCTTTCAATGTGAAAGTGTTCTCAGATGTATTTGATCCATCATGGAGGTATCTTTTTGTTGTGCCATAGTACCTATTCTTTGGTAATGGACTCTCCCATAGATAATAAGTAGGAGTAGCAGTGGCGAGTCTGCAGAACGGTGTTGAGAACGTCAGTCGAGATTCGGACATTTGAAGTACCAACCATCACGACTAGATTTGCTGCGTCATTGACTATTGTATTCCAAGTTCCTAATGTTTTGTACGACTTATTAGAAATACAAGCCTCCACTGTGAAAATACTCCACAACGCTTTTCTTTCTCTATTATCTGTGTTACCTCTTTTGATTTTATGCATATTGCCAACAAGTACGTCTTTTGTCCTGTTATTCTTTTATGCACATCTGCCTTATCTGTGATGCCCAGTTTTTCTATTTCTGCACAATTTTCATTGAGCCATTCCTTTTTGGCCACCCTGCATTTGTTTCTAATTTCTTTGCCTTATGTCCTATATTCTGTACCATACATTCGCATTATTTGTTGTCTCCTTTTTATCATGTTGATAATTTCATCTATCATCCATTCTTTTTTTTTCTTGTTTATTTTTCTTAGTCTCATTTACATGATGTTACTAAAACTTTTCTTAATGTATACCACTTCAAATTTCCATTTAGTTCTTTGTATCTTTAGTTCGCTGTCAGTATATATCTCTTTCAAATTCAGGTCATTCAGGAGTGTCATATTGCAATTTGGGTGCTGCCTTGACTCTTTTCAACTTCTGTAGTTTCACTCTAAGGTTACATCTCACTGGAAAGTAAATATTATTAACTATTGTTATTATTATACTATAACTTATAATTATTAGTTTATACTATAGTATATTGACACCATGTTTATAAAAAAACTTATAGTATCAAAATGCTTCAATATATTACTATGTAAATTTAAAAATGTAGTTTTTATTCAGGGCAGATATTTTGTAAATGCTCCATTTTGTACATTGAGATTGTCTTGTGGGCACAATCTTCAGAACTTGCAATGTAATCTTTGGAATGTTACACAGAAGTTGAATAATTTAACATTTTGCTCAGGAATGGGCAACAACATAATCAGATATTCAACACCCCAAAATATTCTCCAAAACTATATATACTTTAAAATATATATATATGGGAATAACCGAGTTTCTTTGAAAATATTTATTGACAGGCTATGCTGATTTATTCCCAGCAATCTTTGCAAATTTGAATATGCTAAAGATTGTGTTACATTTTTGAAATTTAACCCATTTGTTACTTCTGCTTTTTTTTTTATTTTATTAAAATGCAAAATTTTTTATTTTTTATAATCTATGACTTAAGTAGAATTGTGCAGAGATAAAGTAGCAGCTTCTGATGATATTTGAACTCATACCATGCATCAGTGAGAGCATGACTAACATAAGCAGCATAACATTCTTGATAAAACCCAAAGAAGAATCTGCAATGTTTTTGGTCTTAAGTTGGCATCGGCTTCAGTGACTTTCCCATCACTATAATGTAGCTTCTCCATGCCTTTTCTATAAATACTTTCATACTAACTGTTCTGATGAACTTTCTTCCATAATACCTAGAATTTATGAATTTAAGCACTGTACTAGATTGGTGGCAAGGTCTCAGCATTTTAGAATTGAAATGGCTAGATGTAACCATAAATTCTATGCTAACAGTTTCTTCTCTAGTACTTCTTGCTTATGGAACTCTCTTCTGGCTTCTTGCTTTTTCATTCAACTTTGACCTTCCAAAATTTGAATGCAAAGTCAATTGTTATCTTCTGTCTTAATTTTTGTTCTTTTATTGTTCTTTTTCCTTAATAGTATTTTTTCTCATATTCTCTAGCACTCAGTAACTCCTTTCTGTTTTAGTGGCTTTATTGCCTTTCTTAGGGTGAAATGATTATGAAAACTTTTCTAAAAAGACATTGAATACTTAGATTATATAAGCATTGGAGTGTTGGTTTAAAGATTTTGCCACCATATTTCTTATTAGTTTACTGATAAGTTCAAAAAATAATTGGTACTTTACTAATGTAAATTTTTTTTTTTCTATTTTATCATTTCACCCCAAGCAAGGTGACAATGCCACTAGAACACAGGGTGTTACAGGGAATGAAAGAGAATGAGAATATTGAAAATCATGGAGGATTGAGGAAAGGACAAAAAAAAGGAACAGGGTTCAAGAAGACAAAAGATGGTGATTGACACTGCATTTTAATTTTTGAAGATTGCAGTTATCAGGGAAGTCAGAAATCATGAAGGAGTTCAACAGGTGGGAAGTACAAGAAAAAAACTGTTAGAGTAACATTGGCATTTTCATTTAGCTAGCTCAACAGTAAAATGGCAAAATCTAGTTGCCAATCTAGTATTATGCTTAAATTCACGGAGTCTGGGTACCATGCAGTTGCCATGAAAATATTTTTAGAACAGGCAGAGGGAAGAAGCCATGTTACATCAGTGAGAAAGTGACTGGAGACAAGATGCCAGGTCAGTATAGCAGACCCTTCTCTGGATTTTTTTAAGAATCTCAAGATGCACAGTAAGAGTACCAGACCAGATATGGCAACAGTATTCAATACATGGGTGAATTGTATATTTCTAAATGTGCAAAATGGATTGTGACAAGAAAACTTTTAGGCCATGGCACATTGAACCAACCTTCCTTGCAGCAGATGTAGCAATTAACTTGATATATGTCAGTAGAAAATGTAGTGTATTGCTATCCTGGAGTGCAGCATCAGTCATCCTGATGGTAGGCAGAAGAGGTTCTCTGTGATGATTAAATGAAAGCAGTTTTATTTTGGAGGCATTGAAATTTACAAGCCATTTCTTGCCCCAGTTAACCACTGATGTTGAAGCCCTTCTCAAGACTAGTTGCCAGGTTTACTTTATCTTGTGTCACATTCTAGAAATAACTAATGAGAATGATTAATAAAAAACAATTGAAACAATTAAGGTTGACTCACCATAGGCAGTGAAACGTCCAGCATAGGGACCATCCACAACTCCATTACTTTCTTGAGCAAGAGCTCGTACATACTTCTCACTCAATTTTATGATATCCTCCTGGAAAAAAAAAAAAAAAATGATTATAATTTAAAAAAATCTTTTTTTGTTTGTTAGTTGAAAACCAAAAAAGATATTTATTGAAAATAAGAAAGAAATGAATTATTCTAAAATTACTCAAAATTTAATCAAAGTGTTGCCATCTCTTTTCAATAAAAGCAACACAAGTAGACATTAGGAAAAAGTGGATGAATCAGAGGAACAAGTTTCTGATAACTGACATGCAACAACACTGAAGAGTGACAAATTTGAAGGTAATTGCATATATTTATTTATTTATTCTTGTTGTTACTGTGCAACACACAATGAAATTGGACAGCAGTCCCTAGGTGTACCAATGCTAAAACACATACACTACAGATGAAACAAACACACAGTATTGAATGAAGGAAAGTAATGATGTTTAAAAATGTTAGCATGTGGCAACATTCATTTTATGCAGAGCCCATGGATAAAAGCTGTCTCTCAAGTGCTTTGTCCCAGAACTAATAGATCAATCAAGGGGTACCTGGGATGCATGCTGTCTTTCATTATATTTTTTGCTTTGCTGCAACAGTGAGAAATTGAAATGTCCTCCAAGGAGAACAGCAAGCATTCAATTATTTTCTGCACAGCATTTATAACCCTTTGGAAGGTCCTGTCCATTGTCAAGTAGTTGGCATACCAAAAAGTGATGCCATATACCAGTTGCTCAGTAGCTACAGGAGGGCCCTCTAGAAATTATATTAGCTTCTTGGTCAAGCACATATGGATTTCAACTCTATGGAGTTTACTTTGCTTATGAAAAAATGTGTTTGAGAATCCTGTCCCACCATAGTTATTTCTTTATGCTGATAAAGTTAGTATGTACTGAATATTGCCAAAATGGAATTATTTAGTTGGTATATTAATAACAATTATATTGTTTTTTTTTTTTTTTTAATTATAGAGAAATATAAGATTTTTTTTTTCTGGATTGTACTGTAAACCTACAACCTGTGCCCTCACTGAGTGGACAAATCCCCCTATGTGTTTTGATTTTTATTTGTATTGATGTACTCAAAAAAATATGAAACTGATTGATTTGTTTTTTTTATGGTTTATCAACTTTTGCAGGTTATTTAAAGCCAGAAAATATTTTTAGATTGTAGGAATTTGGGGGGGAGGGAGATAATAATGGTTTAGTGATACACCTCTTACTAATTAACCCATAGCTGGGGGAAGAAGAGATGGATTCATACCTTTCCCAGGGGTATTCGCACGTAAGTGAATATAATTAACGGAAATTGGAAATCGGCTCTTTGATTAACAATTCCAAGCCATTATTCATTACACCATCTGCATATCTAAGTATACAGCACCTGGTATCCCTAAGCAGTTCCCTACTTAGGTACTGATCAAGTTCTATCTTGCTTAACTTCGGAGATCATATGGTTTATTTAATGCTGAAATCTAAATACTTTGAACACAATTTTAATGTTTCAACTAAATATATTTTGAACATAATTGTATGCCTTCTATAAGATATTTTGTACTTAATTTAAGAAAGTATTTAAAAGTAAACATGCTTTATAGATATATAGTTTGTACATAATCTGTTGTAGACTGATCATATGGGAACCAGTGTTTTGATATAATGTGGCCGTAAACCAGAAAAAGGTAAAGGTCCAGTGTATGTTCCAAAGGAAACATAAGGTCAAGTAAAACCATCAGGGAGAAATAAAAAAAAAAAAACAAATCCTGTTATCAATATACAGGTTTCTTTATTCACTGACACAGTCTGGTAGATAGATAGATGACACTTGGAACATCTTTGCTTCTACTTTTTTTTTTTTCTCAACAGACATGATCTTCCTTTTGGTCAGCAAAATTTCTAACTACCTCCAAATCTACATTTTTCTTTCCGTTACTGACTGCTGACTCCTACCATTCCTTTGAACATCTCTGCATCATGAAAGACCATTTCTTTCTCCTCTTGAGCTGATGACTCATTACCTCCTAACAGTCGGCTCATAACTGACTTATTTCAGCTGTGAACGTACAACCAGAACTCCTTACCTTCTGGCTGAGTGGCAATTGATCCTGAAAGTTTTCATTTATTTATTTGCTTCACTTCTCTCTGAATTTTGGAGAGTAAGTGACCACTTTAAAGACCTCATATCTATACTTTACTGTTCGTTATAATACACCAGACCCCTCAGTACTGGATAAAATTATTTAGCGCCCAATTGACCTTGTAGGTGTCCAAATCACAGCTGGGTCCATTTGTAATAAAAACTGAAGAATGGCTGTGTTATATCTCGTACAAGATATAATAAACAAAGTAAACCCGAGTGTGGTTTTCAATAATAATTTTATAATCGGATGTAGGTATGTCAAAATACAGAGACAGAGTCAGGAGTAAGCTAACCGCAATGGTGTTAGTAAACGAAGACCTTCTTTTTGTTGCTCTCCTTACTGTTTCCTGTGGTCGTACTTTATCAGCCACCAGACCGTCCATTATCGTGAATGGGGAAGTTGGGTTATCTCATCACAACAGGCTGAAACATTAAGTTAACTGCATGAAGAATGGATTCAATTGTCCAAACAAAATTTGGAATGTTAATGACTTAAAGTTATAGACATACAGTATGATTTGGGGGCAATAAAATCAATTTGTGACAGAAGAACTTTTCATCATCTATAGTTATTGGGTTAACCAGATGTTAACTTCATTCATACAAATATGTGAAAAAAAACCAAAACAAGTACACTTTGATTGTACCATCAGCTGCTATTTTTTTTTTTTTTTTTTTTTAATCATTTCACACCCAGTAAAGCAACAATGCCATTAGAATGCAGAGGGTTACAGGGAATGAAAGTGAAAAAGAATGAGAAGACTGAGAATTGGGGAGGATTGAAGAAAAGACAAGAAAGCAAAAGGGTTCAAGAAGACGGAAGATAGCGATTGATGTTGCATTTAAATTTTTGAAGATTATAATTATCAGAGAAGCAAGAAATCGAAAAGGTGTTCCACATTACAAAAATAATGATAGGTAAGAAAAAAAAATAAAACGAAAAAAGAGACTAAAACTCGGGTATACACTCTTTGGTTAATCATTGTCCAGGCATTATTGTTGTTACAATGCAACAATTTCTATCATACCCAAATATAAAACATGTTATTAGTACTAAAAAATAAAGTTAATAAATTTTATTCACACTACACAAGATAATTTTTTTAATAAGTAATTTAGCATTTTTTTTAGCACCCAGGTTGCTTAACTTTTATACAAGAATTAGTACTTAAAAATTCCTGACCTGGCATCTCCATTTCAGTCACTTTCCCATAGCTATGATGTGGCTTCATCTTTTCTATATTTTCATAGCAATTATTCTAATGAATTCTCCCTCCTTAGTACCTTGATGGCATAATTTAAATTTTATTGCCAGATTGGCAACTAAGTCCCATTGTTTTAATGTTGAAATAGCAAGATGTAACTAAATTCTATTCTAATATTTTTTTTCACTTCTCACCAGTGGAACTTTTTTTCCAGTTTCTTGCTTTCCTGCCACCTGAAATCTTCAAAAATTTAAATGCAATGTCAATTGCCATCTATCTTCCTAAGTACTGTTCTTTTATTTTCCTTTCTCTTCATTAAAGTTTTCTCATTCTTTTTAACTCTTGCATCTTAGTGACCTTATTGCCTTACTTGGGGGTGAAAATATTTAAAAAAAATAATTGCTTAAATGGTTTCTTATGCATGGGTCTAATAAATAGAGAAGAAAGACATTTTAATGTAAGTAAGCTAATTGGTAGAATTCTTGAATATGGTATATAATAACATTTAGTAACTCTTTAACTATAGTTTTTTCTTTTCTTTTTTTTAATTGCTTAAGCCACATTGATGTCAATAGTGGAGTTGCTTGATATTTAATCAAATTTGAGTACAGTTGCTTATAAAAAGTAAAACAAAATAATGTTTTCAATATTTTTTGCCACATATGGTCTGGTGTTTCTGTTATACAATTAGAGATTCTAACAAAATCAAAAAAAGAATCTGCAATGTTATTGGTTCTGACCTGGCATCTTGGCTTCAGTCATTTTTCCATTGCCATACCTAGATTTTATGAATTTAAGTGAAGTACTGGATTAGTAGCAAGATCTCATAATTTTACAGTTTCCATATTGTAAGATGCGGATTTCATCAGATAACTTGAAACTATTTAATGCGGGGCCCATAACAGTTGTGATAAGGTTAATTTGTAATTTGTTCATATATATATATATATATATATATATATATATATATATATAAACAGATTTTTTAAAGTCAACAGACATGGTATGCATGTTTAAAAATTTTTATTATATTTTTCCAATTTTAGAATAAGCTATTGCACATGTGGATCAAAATTATGGATAAATTGTTCAAAGTTCATATTTAAGTACCTTCAACTATCAGGTTTGATCCAGATGAATAGCACTTTATTAAAAAATGGTAGAAATACAATAAAAAATTGACACAAACGTACCTTGTCAGATTGTTTTGACATATATAATTTGTGCCTGATGATTGGCATATGCATGAAACTCAGTGAGGAACAAAATATTTGTTATTAGTATAAATTTTATTATTTTTATTCTGTTATTTTACATTTAGCACTGTTTTATTGCCACCAGCACTCATTGTCCTATTTGCTACAAACACACATAAGCACATATATACACAAAAAGAAAAAAAAAATAAATCAATGTCTCACCAATAACTAGCACATAAATTAATTTTTTAATATAGAAATAATGAAAATTAGAAAATCTGCAGTCAATTGCTGAAACTTCCTGATGAGTGGACAGAACAATTACTAAAGATTTGTCTACGAAACTCCAGTCAAGGTGCTGAATATAACATCAATCAACTAAGTGACAAATTTTATATATATATATATATATATATATATATATATATATATATATATATATATAATAAAGATACAGAGAAAGAGAAATTGACTGAATTTAACAAAACTTGTCTAAATGAATTTTTGCTGTGTGTGTGTGTGTGTGTGTGTGTGTGTGTGTGAACTCTCCCACTAATTTTTTGCATGAGGGCCCAACAGTTCAGGTGAGAATTGAACCACTACCCTACCCACACAGATGATTTGATGGTATGGCAAAAGCTGGTGTTTGTACAGAGCCAACCACACTTTTTAGAAGACCTGATAAACTGGTGCATCATGTGCTACAAAGTTTCCAAACTGCTCAGCTCAGGTTTAAATTTAGAGCTTCCTTCTTTTAAGCTAGCTGCCACTCCAAGGCAAGAAAGCCCAGTCTGCTTTCCTATTTAACCCAATAGGTTTATATAACACAAAGTGAATGAAACAGAATCAACCAGAACTTGAATCTGATTTGGCAACTTCACTCTCCACATTAATAATTGTTATAATACTCACACTTCCTCTGTGTGTGTTATCACGCTATGTTATGAGTGAGTGCAAAAAAAAAAAAAATTTGATGCCACGTGAAAGAATATTTTATGGCCTAATAACATCAGTCTATAGATTTTCTCTTATAATAAATTATGTACTTATATCCATGATTATATGCTTTCTATTAATTCTGAAGTGTTCTTGAAGTCTGAGAGACAGTTTCCATATAACATTCTAAAATACCAAACATTTATCTTGACTTATACTTCTTATATCCTGAGCTTCAACTGCACTCATTTTTATTAGACACTAAATTCAGTTCCCCAGTAACATCAATAAGTTTCACCCTGCACCTTCACTTTGGGTAATGAGTTCATATTAATGAAAGTTATACCAATAACACTAAAACAAGAAAAACAACCAACTCAACTGGGAGACAGGTCAAGATATTGTCAGGTCAAAAGTACCTGTTCAGTATGAATAGGATAGGTTACCTGGATTACAGTGATTCATTCTTTTTTACAGCTTACCAATCCTTGGTGGGTTATTTAAAGATGAAATATTTTGGGGATTGTAAGAATAATTCTTTCTTTGTGAGTAAATATTACATTAAGAATTTTTGAGAGATAATGATTTTTCCAGATAAAGTTCTGCTATTTAACCCATAGCTGGGAGAAGAGTAGAGGGATTCACACCTTTCTTAACCTTTACCACACTAGTTTCTTTCTAGAATTGTTCCCCCTGCTTTTTTTTTTTTTTTGAGGGTGCAAAAACATGAACACCTATTTTTATAACTTTCTTTGTATTGTGCGCATAGATGTTAATTTTTGTACACTAATAAAAGAATGAAGGAGTAATATTTTGCTGTAATACATTACATTTTGCATGCCTGTTTTGACATTGAAAACAAAAAATGAAATTCGAAATAAAAAACAAATAGATTAAAAAATACATAAATAATTCAACATAAATTTAACTCCTTGTGGAGTTTTGGGGGTGCAATAAGAAGCAAAATTGTTAAGATGGCCTTCATTTTGTCAAAAAAGTGACGTATTCCCTCGTGTTTACATACGAGAAGACATGTGCACTTGTTTGCTCTTTCTTTCACCTGACTCGTATCTATTTTTCTCGTTGATAAATAAAGTTACTATTTCCTCTTTATAAATAGATGAAATAATTCACCTTCAGAAAGGCTATCAGTTATATCAATGGTTGCCAGTAGCATCCATAAAATTAGTCAGGCATGGATGATAGTAGCCACTAGAGTAGCAAAGGGAGAAAATTTTACGGTGACTATTGTCGCTTGCAGTGTGGTAAAGGTTAAGGGTATTTGTGTTTAACAAAATCTGGATTAGAAGTTTAAAATGATAATGAAATGTAATTTTGCTAAAGTTCAGATTTGAACATTATAAAATAAATAATTATACAACTTTAGAGTATTATTCAAAAAGTTTATTTAGACTACTATCCTTAGCTAAAGAGTACTGAGCTATTACGTGACATCTGTCCTTTTTTACGGCAGTGAATGTTGGACAACTTTCTCAAAGATGAAGAAGAGTCTTGAGGCAACAGAGATGTGGTTCTACAGAAAGATGGACTGAGCGTGTGAGTAACGATGAGGTTTTAGAGAGGTTGTAAATAAAGAGGAAGCTTATACTTAACATCAAAAAGCGGCAGCTGAAGTTTCTGGGACACATAACAAGGAAAGAGAGCCTGGAGAATCTGATACTCACAGGTTGAATAGAGAGAAAAAGAGACAAGGGAAAACAACACGTGACACAGCTAGCAGGCTTAAGCAAGTGGATGACAGAACGTGTTCTGGGAGAGGAATAAGATGGAAGGAACTTGTGAGCTGCAAGGGATAGGGGGAGGTGGAGAGCCATGATTGCCTATGTCCTGAAAGGATATGGCACGTCAAAAGAGATCCTCAGCTTCGATTTATTCATTATTATATTTCAGGCAATATATTTCTTTTTTATATTCCACCAGTATATCAGATCCAGTAGGATTCTAAAATGGCATAAGCACATGTAAAATTAAATAAGGAACAAGTAG